CAATTGCTGGCTCTGCAGCCAAATCTAACCAATTTCTTTGAGAACCATTTTCACCTAGTAAATATTCTGCTTCATCATCATCGGAATCACTAGCCAAAATAGCATGTTGTGTCTGGCGTCCATGTAATTCCTTTAAGGAATAAACTTTTAAATAAATAAAAATATTCTTTTAAACTTTTTGTATTCTTCCATTCGAATCATCTTTTGGAGTTTTCTTAACACAACCACATCCAATCTTTGAACTTTTTCCTTCATCAGAGGCAATAACAACAACAGAACTGGGAACTGTCGAAGGAGGGCGTTCAGTCTCTAATTGATCACTATGTACCCTCGTTAATTCTTCATAAAGCTCAACCACACTAAAAAATTAAAAGATAAGTATTTAAAAAGTAAAAAGATTTATTAGAATTTTCAACGAGGATAGAAAATTCCGAGTTTAATCAAAATTAGGTTTAAAAGTTTGTATAGATTTCCTCTTTGCATTAGAAAACAAGTCCGGACGCAACTGGAAAAAATCCAATTCCATCCAGCCCTGATTAGAAAAATTAATCCTCCTAAAGCCTCTTTTAACCCTACATAGTAATATGTTTTAAATTTAAAATTTAATGAAAAAAATGTAAAAATTACCGATGGGTAACACCACCGAAATCTCCCACATTTTGTGACAAAGAAATAAGACCAGTAAAACTTCGAATCTAAAACAAAATATTTTAAATAAATTTAGAATAATTCAAAAAAAATAATTTAAAGTTAATCCCTCGATTGATAAGAAAGTAAAGATTAATTTTAATACTCAAATGGGAACATATGTATAAAAGAATCAAAAAGTAATTACCAAATAGAGATAATAAAAAGCATTTTCGCTAACTATTCCATTCAATTCAGGAGGTCCAATTTTGTCATCATATTTATTTTGCACAAAAATAGCAATAGCAATAATAATATAACTTAGAATTCCTCCAAAAAAGTCAAAACAATTTGTGGCTACTAAAAATTAAAATTAAAAATAATTTTTAAATTTATGAAGAAAAATAATTACAATTTAACCAAAATTGCCAAATAATCAAAATTTTTTGTGTTTTTAACAAATGTTTAAGTTTTTGATTTGTAAAAACATTTTCTGTAAATCCCGCCTGATAAAAAGCAATTGATTCTACATTTGTCCGAACTTCTAAATGTCTTGCTCTAAATTAATATTTATTTAAAAATAGAAAAAAGATTTAAAAAAACCTTAAATCTCCTTCCCTTTTTTCTTGTTCTGCAACCAAAGGAATTGTTTTAGTTATAAGGATTCGATTAATAATTGTTGCAGAAGTAAAAAACAAATAAATAGTAAGAGGTCCTAAATATCCAGAACTGAAAAGAAAATTTTTTGATTTTTATAATATATTTCCTGAAAGAATATTTCGAGAAGAATCATTTTAAATTTAAAAGAGAACATGTAATTAAAATAATTAAAAACCTATTATATGTCAAATAAGTGTAATAAATAACAATAAATGGAGTTAATAATAAAGGACCAAGTAATTCACAAGCAAGTAACCGTGTACATTTTTCAATGTCTTGAGTCATACGTTGATCACTAAAATTAATTTAAATAATTTAGAAAAATGTTTAATTTACGGATTGTCCAAGGAATTTGTCAGTAAATAAAAAGCGTGACGTTTAAAATAAAGTCGATGCATAACAAATCCAAGTAAACGCCGACATCGTAAGTAGAGCAAAGAAGAAAGTAATTTTATCAGAGCAAATGTCTAAAACATAAAATCAAAACCATTTTTAATTTAAAAATACCGCTGCTTTAAGAAAAACCAAAACAAATGACATAAGGATAAGACGCTCAAAAGCCGATTCTTCTCGCTTCCCCAAAAGAACATGAAACTTAAAATTAAGAGATACATAAGACAGAAAATTTAATTAAAAACCTCTCGAGGCAACACACCCAAAAAATAGGCGGCAATTTGATCTGAAAAAAAATTATCCTTCTGAATGAATTAATGTATAAATATGCCTGCAATGGATAGAAAAAGAAGAGAAACGGCAAGAAGAACACCAAAAGACTTCCAAGTTGGAAAAAGAATTCTCACAAGTACAAAAGTTCTCCTTAAAAGCAGTAAATCCATTGAGAAGCGAGTCATAACTTCTTTTTCTCCCCTTGTTAAAGTATATAATTAAATCAATTTTAATAAATATTAATTGTTGTAGATCAACGTCAAAAAACAAAAATTAAAAAAAAACAAATACAAAAAATAATACATTAATATAAAAGAGTATTTGTGCAAAAATATTTATAATTCAAGTATTTAATTTATTTGGAAGTAGAAAATAAATGGAGGAACTGGATAAAATAATAAGGTATATACTTTTATTTCTTCCCATTAAACAATTAATTTTACGATTTATTAACCATAATCAATTTCTTCTCCTGCCTCAACTTCTGTCGCTGTTTTAATAGTATCATCAGTATTTTCTACCAAATTGTTACTTAAATTATTCGCTTCTTGCTGTTGCGGAGATTGTTGCCTTTGCTGAGATTCTTCAATCTTATTCTTTTCTTCCAAAATACGATCTATCAAAGAACGGGCCAAATGTATGTCACACGTCGAAGGAGAATCATCATCAAAACCTTCTTGTTTCAGAATGAGCGTTATCGAATCTGAGTGTTTAAAATATGTACTTAATAAAAAATAAAATAAAAACCTGCATCATCAGCACCGTCATGTTTGGATTCAATCAGCTCTAAAAATAATTATAAACATAAATTACAAAAAACCTTTAAGTCTTTTGTCGACACTCTCCAACCATATATTCTCCAACTTAACCGCTTCCTCGTTAACTTTAGGTGCCGCATCAAAAACAACCTTGAAAATAAATTAATAATATTTTTAATATTTTAAGTTCACCATAATCATTGTCATGTTGTCACGTGATCCCTTCGACAAACAAACATCAAGAACTTGATTTGAAGCACGCTGAAGAATAGGATTAATAAAATAAAAATAAATTTTAACCTTTAAATCTTCTGTGACAGTTAATCGAGAACGAACTAAACGACAAAGTTCCTCGTTTTCGAGCACATCATAAATTCCATCACAGGCAAGAACAAGAAATTCATCATCCTCTTTGTTCCTTTCAATGATATAAATATCAGGTTCTGGGCTAACTAATTGATCAGTAGGACATAATCCAGGAACAGACTTATATTCATAATCTCCAAGTGCTCTTGAAACGGCAAGGCTTCCATTAACTCTCTGAATCATCACAGAACCACCAGCCTTGACAATTCTGTCGCGTTCTTTTTCAACGTAAGGCTTATGATCTTCAGTGCTAAAAATATTGTCACTTTTCCGGCTAAGAATCCCCCTTGAATCGCCTAAAAAACAAAGTGTAAATTGAAAATTTTAGAGAATCAAATACCCAAATTTGCAAAGAAAATATAATCTGGTGTGAGAATGGCACAAATTGCTGTGGTTCCACTTCGTTCTTTCTCTGTCCCACCAGGTAAGTTTTCCATAGAAGCATCTAATTGCAGAAAACCTGACCTCATTCCTTCCTTAATTAATGTCTTTGACTTTTCAGTAATTTTTTGGTCATTTGAGTTTAACTCTGCCTTGACCTAGAAGATAATAAAGAATAAAAAATCAGACAATTATAAAAAGATATACATCACGAAATGCCTGTGTTTCCAATAAAGTTTGCAATAAATTTTCTGCTGAATGGAAGGCAACATTACTCCCAGCATGACCATCAAATACAGCAAAGAAAGACCAATTCTATAAATTTAAATAGAAAATTTTAAAAAATGAAAAAAAACCTCAAAAGGAGGGTCCTTCCCTATTGAAATTTTAACATGATGGGCATCCTCCATATCAATTCTCCAACCTTGCATTGAGGCCACTACATAACGATAATCCTTAAAAAATGAAATATTAGTAATATCTCGAGAGGATTTACACATACCCTCCCAACTCCAATATCATTTGTTTTCTCAGTTTTAGGCTTATCAAGAAAAGCGCCCATGTATTTTTGGTATCAGTTTAAAAGTCAAATAATAGTTTTGTCTAAAAGAAACAAAGCAAGTAACAGAACTAAAATAAAGATTATATAATTAAAACAGTTAAAGAAGAAAAACGAAAAGAATGACCCCACACCAACATAAAAAAACCCGTTGCACAAAACTTTTTAAAAAGTGTCAAATTTTCGTTAATATCTCCTTTTTGGCACTGTGCCCATACAAAATGCCAATTTCGCTTTATTGAAATTAGAGATCGGCACGGGTCGGGACCCCGCACGGGATTTTACGGGATCCCGTCCCGGAATCACGGGTTTTTCGCGGAAAACGGGATTTACGGGATTAATCCCGCGGGATCCCGTCCCGGTCGAAATTTTGAAACGTAAACCCGTTCCGGGATCCGGGGAATTTTTTTTCAAATTTACGGGATTATTAATTATTCTCATAAATTGCCATCGGCGCTGTAAATGGAAGGAATCTGGGACTTTGGCCTCCAAATCCACTTATATCCCTCCAAATACACCAATATCCCCGATAGCTCAGGAGACCCGTGAATAGTCGGGACTCTCCGGAGTTTCGACTATTCCCGGACAGATTTCTGGACTGTCGATATCTTTGGGTGGCCCTCATTTTTTACTTTCAAAATTCTTAAATTCGGCTGCGGAACTAAAAAGGAGAATTCTGGCTTCTTAGCCTTATGAAATGGCATTCTGAATGATTTCTTTAGATAATTTCTCGAGCTCCTGAATTACAGCGCAGAAATTTTTTTTTCGGAAAATCCTAAAAAAATTTTGCTGCGCACTAGATGTGACTGAAATGGGCGAGTAGTTTGTTGAAAGTTTTTGGGCTTTTTTTCATAGAAATGATTGAAACCGAGAAGGCGGTTGCAATATTTTGTTTAATTTATTGTTGATTTTCGTCAGAATTTTGTTAATTTAGAATATTTAATTATTATTTTGAATAATTTGTGATTAATGTACATTAATTAATGGATGAAAACGATAAATGGTCACAGCGAAGGCTGCGGCATTGTGTACAATATGGAATTAAACCTGACATTCTTGCGGAAAAATTATGTTCAATATCGAGAAATGGAGGTTAAACAAATCCTTAAATTAATTCTCATTTTTTTAGAAGTTTCACATACAAACGAAGAGGATGATTCGACAAAACGACCTCATGCACACTCGACGCGGTCAATTAAATCAACAGCTACAGCTCTTTCGAGAACCCGATCACTCGATCGAACACATATCAATAGGGAATGCTTCCTTGAAAAAAGAGAAAGTGTTCTAGGAATGGCTTGCAGAGGATTAAATTCTGTTGTTACAGGGTAATATTGTAAGGATTTTTAAATTTCAATTATTTTTTAGTGATTTATTTCGCCAAATTCAAGAAGGTAATTCTTCAAAGAGGGCTACTGTTACAAGGATATCTACTTGCGTATCTATACGAGACAAAGATAGATTGCCAGATGTTTTTAACAGTTTCCCTTCTAATCAAAAAAGTCTTCGATGTGATTTAAGTTTGGGTATGAATAATACAGCAACAAACACTTGTTTATTAAATGATGTTGAAAATAATCATCACGACCTTGAGCATACAAAATCTTTAAATTTAATCTCAAACAAGTCACAGAAACAGGTTTAAAAATTTTGTTTTTCGGTTAATATAAGTTGAAGCTTTGAAGCTCTATAGGAAATACCGTAATGTTTATTTTTCAATACCCCTCATTTTTTTCAATACCCCTCATTGTGTGGGCTTCTATTAGGACATGGGAAATATTACGGCACTTTTTTTTAATTCCCTGTTGAAATATTTTTAGTTTTTCTCACTTTTTTAAAATATTAGTTTGATGGTAACAAATAATAACATATATTTCTTACAGATGGATTTGGACGATGAAGACCTTAATGGAATTATATTTATTGATGTACCAAATAAAACTACTTCGAGCATTGATAATAACGATCGTCAGGAGATTATTACAAATTCACTTTCACCCGATTTTTGTCAAATTTCTAATCGGAATGGAAATACTCACGACATGGAGGTAAAAATTTACGAGAAAATATTTTTGTAAATAAAATATTAGTTAAACAATGTATCCAAACTTCATAAATTTACAAGTTTGTTTGGAAGCGGAGAGGACAGTGTTTTAAGGTTTCGGGCATTTAGAAAGGTATAACTTTATTTTATTTTCTTTTAATTTGATATTATTTAAGTTTAACTTTACAAAGAGAATTACAAATGACTCAATTGAAAATAGCCGAAGGAAAAGATTACCAATTTATGGACAATATATTTCTGATCCTCTTTTAATTGTAAAATTAAAAGATTATTCCTGTGATTATAGGTAATACTTTATTATGGAATTATAAAAATAATATTGATAAAAGTTTGGATTGTACAATTTACGCACTTTTTTCCTTACTGGTCGGTCTTTTTTCTTTCCATAATTTGAGGTTAACTTCGTATTTATTGCACTAACATATCGCATGTTAGGGCAATAGCGAAACTTTTCGAGCAATTATAGAACCAAGAGAGAAATATTTAATACTATCTTAACTTTTTTATCAAAAATTTTTAAGACCTTGTTTTACATATTGGATTAGCACAGTTCATGTTTTTGTTTTGCTCTTTATGGTTTTAAATTTTGGAATTGGAACTGATTTTTTAAATATTTTTTATAATCCTTTTGGTGTTATTGAACGTAGTGGAAATGTAATGACTTCATCTCTTTCTGCTGCACATATTGTTGTTTGGGAGCAAAATAATATTTGGATAGGACCAAAATATGTATTTTTTAAAATATATTTTTTAATTAAGATATTTTTTTAAAGTCAGATTTAGTTCATGTTGGTGCTAAATACACACCTTGTATGAGAAGAGATCAGAAAATATATGAACAAATATTGCGTGAAAGACGAATAGAATCAGAAACAACTGGATGTTGTGTTGGACCTTGGGGTTGTTATCAAACATCTGAATGCCCGGTTTCTTTTTTAAATAATTTTTAAAATAATTTTATTTTAAAGAAACAATTTGCTCAACATATAAAATGGACAAATGGAACATTTCCTGAACGTTTTAATTTTCGTGTTGCTTGTGGGCAAGATCCCCGTTATTGTGTAAAACCCCGTTCTGTTCATCCATTTCTTTGGGGAATCGACTTGATTGACTGGCCTGTTAGTTTTTTTACATATAAAAAATTTAAAATTTTTTTAAGATTTGTGAACAAAAAGCTTCTTCAATCCCAGCAACAATCAAACACATGCAGTGTGAAGTGACTGGACGTCCTTGTTGCATCCAAATGCATGGACAGTGTAGAATAACTTCTAGAGAATATTGCGATTTTGTTGGAGGTTATTACCATCCAAATGCGGTACTTTGCTCTCAGGCAATCAGAATTTTCCAGTACTTTTTCTAAAAATATTTTTAGGTTTCTTGTCTTCGTGAAGTTTGTGGCTTGACATCATTTTTACGCAAAGATTCACCAGATCATATTTATCGTTTAATTACACCACTCTTCATTCATGCAGGGTAAAGATTTACTTATTTTAATAAATTCCTTTATATATATAGTAAAGTGTGTTTGCTCAAACCCGGTTGACCGAAACCGAGAGCCTTGCTCTTGAGTTTTGACCAATACTTTTCTTTTTTTTCGGTCTTGTGGCGCTATACGCTTCTTGTGTAAAACTAAACTTTTTTTGATGAAATTTCCTTTGAAAACTGAAAAACTCAAAATCAAAAACTTGAATACTAAAACTATCCTAATTTAAGAATAATTCGCTGTGCAATATCATTGGCTCTTTATTTAACTGTAATGCGAAGATTTGAAATAATGGTTAGTGATTTTGAGTATTCTCAGAATTAAAAAACTATAATGTAGATTGGGTGGCATCGTCTTTCAGCAATTTATTTTATTTCCGGAATTGGAGGATATTTGGCGAGTGCAGTATTTGTACCTTACATGGTTAGTAAAATGTTTTTAGTTTTATTTAAATTTAAATATTAGCCAGAAGTTGGACCGGCAGGCTCTGAAGGAGGAGTTTTAGGTGCTTTAATAGTTCACATTCTCTATAGTTGGAGTTGGCTAAATCAACCTTTTCGTGTGCTTTTCTTGCATTTAGCAATAGCTTTTGGACTTTTTATTCTTGGATTTCTGCCTTGGATAGGTATTTTCTCTTTTTGTACTTTTTTCCATTTTCTCCAAAATTTAGATAATTGGGCACAAGTATCTGGATTCCTTTTTGGATCTCTTACGGCAATAAGTTTGTTTTTTACTATGAAATTTTGATTTTTTAAATTTTTTTTAAGTTTTGCTTCCATATATTACAATTGGTAATGGAAGAGTTAGAAAAAGAAGGCCGTTAGTTGCTGCCTCTTTTCTTATTCTTGCTTTTATGTTTTCAATTCTTTTTGCACTATTTTTCTTCTACCAAATTGATTATGAACCTCTTGCATTGTTAAATTGCCCAATTCCAACAAAAATTTGCGATCACCAGGGGTTGATATTACGTGATTGGATTCCAATTTAATTGGAAATTTATTATAATTACTACCTCTAATTTTTTTACATTTTACATGTGCCTTCTTCCATTTTATGCCTTTCTAATTTTTTTTGGTATCTAAATATCCGTGTTAAATCTTGACTTTTTATATTTTTATTACCTCCTTAAATTCCACGGTTTTAATTATTTAAATCTCAACATAATTAAGAGCCTTAAGATTTTGTCCCATTAATTGTTTTTAAAATATTTAATGTGATAAATATACATAATAGACAATTTTGTATTTGTCAAATAATGCTTTAATTTTAGCTAGGGAGTCTATTGAAAATAAAGATGGTGGGTAAGGTTGGTGGATCCTGGGAAATCTTCGGATATCCGAATGAAATTTCCGGTATTTTTCGAGTCCAGATCTGTCAACCCTAATACTGGGTAATTATTGCAGTATACTATTTTTATTTTTTAGACAAAAAAATAAAGTTTGAATATTATGATTCGGATCATATTAAACATTAAATCGTCGGAAAGATTTCAACATTGGAACTAAATTTCTTCAAAATTTATCGTTGCAATAATGTCCTTTAAAAAGTATTCTGATTATTTAACAAAAACATAACCAAAATAAATTAAAAAATAAATTGATCATAAATCATTTTTAACAAAAACATCGTCATTGAATTAAGCTGAGATCTCACATACAGTTCCAGATGAATCCACGGGTGAATAAAGAAAAATATTTTTTAACGGAACATCATTTTGAGATAAAGCCTAAAGTTAAAAATACTTTTTTATATAAAAAAATTAATTATACTTTAATCGCCTCTTGAGCCAAAACACTTCCAACAATTGCACAAACAGAATTTAAAGCCGGCTTTGTAAACCTTAAAATTAAAAAAATATAAATTAATTTATTAACAAAAAAAAACAAACAACAAAAAAAAAACAAACAAAGCAAAATCGTCAACTGTAAACTTTTGTTTAGATTCTTCTAAACAAGCTTCTTCCAATTCTTTTTTCCATTTTTTAATAACTTCATCTTTTGTATAATCATTTCCATTTTTTTCTTTCATAATTTGCATAAAAGCTAATTAAAAATTTAATTTTTAAATTAAATTAAAAAAACCTCTAATAATGTAATAAGTGCTTGGCAAACTAAAACGCCGACGAAGCAATTTTTTCATCCCAAGTTTAATATCAAAAGTTTGCTCAAAACTTGGAAATAAAACATTCTAAAAATTAAACAAGTATAATAACTTTTTAATATTAATTTATGATGGAGTTTGTTGATATAACTTTTTAAAATAATGCGCGAAAATTATTTTATAATTCTAACAATTCCGACTTTATGGGGAGATAGATTAGGTGGTTTCTAACGGGAATTCTTCATTTATGTTAAAGCTATCAGTTGATATACATATAATTTAAAGCAATCGACACAAAAAATCTCGTTCAAGTCCAAATTTCTAACCTTTTTAATTTTTGCATCTTCATCCTCTAAAGTAAATGTTTGAATATTTCCATCTTCAGTTCTAAGCTTTTTTGATTCAGAAATGTCTTCAATTCTCTCATCAACATCATCCAAAATACTTTGAATAATTTGTGCTTCCTTTGGTTTTGGACTGAAAAATTAAAAGAATTTAAAATTAAAAGAAAAGTAATTTACACAAGAAAAACATGATCATTAAAATCAAAAAATCCATAACCAATCCAACCAAAAACACCGCCAGCTTGGAACCGAATTTTATATTTACGGCAAATTTTGTCAATTTTATTGGTAATATCAAAGTTTTGATCAACAAGAATAACCAAATCAAAATTTTTGAAAAAATCCTCTGATTTGCTTGAAATAGAGCCATTTTCAACATTAACTTGAACCATCGGATTTAATTGTTTTAAACGTTCAATAGATGCTTGGGCACGCTAAAAATATAAAAAAATTCCTTTAGAAATTCTCTTCTATTAAAAAATACATTTCCGCGGTCATCTGGAGAAATTAAAAATTGTGAATGTTTATCGGCATCAGAAATCTAAAAAAATAAAAAAAATTAAATTTTAAAAAATAAACAAAATTAACATTCTTGTCATCCATTAAAGTAAGCGATCTCAATCCAGAAAGCATCAAATTCTTTGCGAGTTCAGCACCCAACCCAGTCATTCCAACAATTATAACTGAAGATTGACGAAGTCTAAAAATTAAAAAGACTTCTAATTTTAAAATAAAAATACCTATTTTGGGCATCCAATCCCCATAAACGAATTTGTCTGTCATAAAGTTCAAATTCATCACTATTTATTTTGTTTATTTCAGTCATTATATTCTAATATCTATAAGTAAATTAAGAAAAAAAACGAAAAATAAAATAAGGTTAAAACCCAAAAAAATTAAAACAAAATTTTTTTATTAAAATTTACATAGTAAAATAAAATAATGTAAATTTCTGTGTCCTCATTGTCTCCTGTAATCTCTTCTATTATTCCAATTTTCTTCCATATTTCCTCTCCCTCTTCTCCAATATGGAGTATGACGCCAATTCCGATCCCCATAATTTCTCTCTTGATTTATTCTTGAATATAAACGTCCTGATTCATTTGATTGTTGCAACCCCAAAGATGAAAGACAAATTGGTTCATGCGAAATGGTTATGGACGCTCTTTTGTATTCATCATCATTATTTGTGTACCTTTAAAAGAATAAATTTAATTTTCACTAACCACATATAAAATTACCTTGAAGCAAAGAGAGTATCATAATTAGATTCATTGCTTGATGGAGTAAATTCCGAATTCTTAACTTCTGATGATGAATTATTTTTTTCCGCCATTCTGTAAAAAATAAGATTTTAATGATAAGATGAGATAAGCATAAAGTATTATCAAAGAACATGAAAAGTGCCCAAATCACTACTGTTTGTAAATTATTATAATTTTCTTTAAAATTATAATAATAAAATATAATTTTATTATTATATTTGTTGTAATAACTACTGTTTGTCACTAGACACGCACACAAATGCTTGGTGCACTCAAGCAGCGGCACCCAATTGAACTTTCCCAAATACCAGTTAACCTTTTTTGGCCGTGGCGATCAGTTAATGCATCGACCAATTGTTTAGGAGCAAACATTTTTGTTGAACGTTAGCATTTTTGGCTGCAATTTTCTCCTAATTTGTAATAAGTTGAAAATTTCAGTTTTAACTTGTTTAAGATGCTTAATTATTTTGATACTTAATTCATTATTTTAGGCCAATTATTGTTTTGTAAATTTATTCCTGCATAAAATATACCTAATTTTATTATATATTCTCATGTGAATGTGTTATTTGATGATGCATGCTCCAATCTACGGTTACAACACTGTCGTTCCCGAGCCACTTAATGCTATAGAGCAATTACCAATTCGTACAAATTTAAATCTGCCTGAAGGTGCTTATCGTCAATCAACTACTGCAAATGAATATTTCCGTTCCAACAGAATGCCCACCCAGGTTTATTTTTTAAATTTTTAAAAACTTTAAATAATTATTGGAACTTATATGGTTTGGGTACTCTTTTTTTAGCCACGCCCTTTTTTCCTTTTCCATCATTATTCTTTCACTCTTTTTCCCTCTCAACCATCAATCAATTGAGTTGAGGTCAATTTTTTGTTTAAAATAAAGAGAGAAATAGAGCTGACTCGGATGACATCATCGAGCTGGGCTGAGACGAATGGCACTAAACTCGGTCCGTGAGATCTCTGAGCTGAATTACAGGGGTCCAAAAATTTCTAAAAGGGGTAAAACGGTCGGCATTTTGTAAAAAAATATGATTTTAAACACGCAAAAACTGGAAAACACAATAAAATACCGGACCATTAGTTCCAAAACGTAGAACCGGGATACCTATTGCCATTTAAATAATTGAAATAGATAAAAATAAGAATATTGTTTCAAATGTTAATTCTATTTTGGTGAAATTGGAAAGGAAAATTAATCTTTTCCTTGTTAATGTCTCTCACTGAAAATGCCACAGGAAAAGTTAAGTAAAATCGAGGAAGAAAGAAAGGCTGACCATTCTGTCCATATTAAGGTTGATTGATGAAGGAAAAGGAAAAAAGGGCGTGGCTAAAAAAAGAGTACCCAAACCATATAAGTTCCTAATTATTTAGGTTGCTGGTCCTGTCTGTAATTCGTCAATACGTATTTCGTTTTTAAAAATTCCCAAGTTAAATTATGTGGAAGAAGCTTTACCTTCAACTTCAAATAAATATACGTCAAATACAAATTCATTTGACCATCATCATTCCTCTACTATTGAGACATCAAATTATATAGAGCGAATTTGTCTAAATATTGGAAGAGAGATTTACGTTTTTGATTATAGGTAAAATTTATTTTTGTATAAATAGTGTAAAAGATTTTTGATAAGGGAATTTTTGGTAACTTACCTTAATTAGACTTTTTGTAATTATACATTAATAACATTTATCGCGTTATAATTTTTTAACGAGTGATCAAACCTAATCTATCCAATTAGAAAAAAATACTGCTTATCGAGGGCTTTCAAATGATATAAAATTTATTTGATCTGGATTAGGTATCAAAAAGTTATAGCCTATCACATTTCGGCTGGCACTCAATTTGTAGAATATAACGAATATGTACCCAAAATTTTTATTTTTTAGTGGGGCAAATGGCATGACCGACACTGCAAAAATAGTCGACAAACGTGTTTACAAAGGCACATTTCCTACATGTCACACTTTTAATAAAGAAAATTCTTCCCAATCTTCCTGTTTGTTGCTAATTGGATTTTCTGCTGGCCAAATTCAATTGATTGACCCACAGCAGAAGGAAATGCCCAATTCAAAACTTTTTAATGAAGAGAGACAAATAGATCGAACAGCGGTTACTTGTTTACGTTGGGTTCCTGATGGATGTTCATTTTTTGTAGCCTCACATGCAAGCGGCAATCTTTACGTTTGTCTTGTTTTCTTTTAAATATACATATAATCTTTTCTTCTTTTTTCAGTTATACAATGATGAGCTTGACTCTTCCACAATAGCTCCAACCTACCAAGTTCTCAAACAAGTAACTTATTTATTTTTACATTTTTTAAAACCATATTTTTTTCATTAGGGTGATTGTTTTACTGTCTTTACTTGCAAGTCAAAAGTTAGCCGAAATCCTGTTCACAGATGGCAAATTGGCACTGGGGCAATTAATTCCTTTGCATTTTCTGGTTCCACTTCTAATTTTATTGCAACTGTTAGCCAAGTAATTTAATGATTTTTTGTTTTATTTTTAAATATTTTTCCTAAGGACGGGTTTTTGCGCATTTTTAATTGGCGAACAATGGAGCTTATTGGATGTATGCGTTCCTATTTTGGGGGTCTTTTATGTCTGGCATGGAGTCCAGACTTGCGGTATATCGCTACGGGTGGAGAAGATGACCTTGTTTCGCTTTATTCTGTTACTGAAAGTTTGTATTTTTATACATTAATAATATAAATTTGAATAAGTTGCTACTGAGTATTGACTCTTGAGCTTTATTTTAATAATAATTTCAATAAATAATATAATTCGAATATATCAAACATTTAAAGATCGGGTTGTTTGCCGAGGACAAGGTCATAAATCTTGGATCTCTGACATCGAATTTGATTATTATGCCTCTACCAATTCTCTTCCACAAAATAACACTGGTTACAATGAGTCAACGATTGATGAAATTTTGTTGTCTTCTACTGCAAATACTTCTTTAATGGTTCATACCGGTGATTTAATCAAAAATTATCTTTTAAATTAACAAATCTTATATTTTATGTGGTCTAAATTACTCACAAAATTCATTTGGTATTCAACATATTGGCCAAAATGGATATGGAACAAATTTTAATTCTGATTTATGTGACGGAATTGCAGCTAGTTGTTCATCTTCCATTCCGAACCATTCAGTTTTTGATGATAATCAGGAAGGAGAAATTAATTCACAATTACGAATTATTTATCGGATAGGTTCTGTTGGTCACGATTGTCAGGTATTTTTATATTTAATTGAAAGCATTTTTTGTTGTTTTTTAGCTATGCCTTTGGGATATTTCTGATGATATTCTTCTTTCAAGTAGCTGTTATAGCAGGAATTCTCGAAATTTACAAGATATCCAAACGGAACTTTCTTCACCTGTTGGAGCGTTATCTCCAGGAATTTCTCCAATAGAAATAAATCAAGTCAATAATACAACTCTCATTCCCATTGGTTTTGATAATTCTATTGCACTTCCTAAAGAGGTAATTTTTAATTTAAAAAAATTTTTTTTGAATTTTAAGAATCAAAAGAACGGTTTGAAATCTGATAAATTAAAAAATGGAGGTGGTGGTCGATTTAGACGATTACACAAGCGAGGTTTAAGTATTGGCTCACGTTTAACTGGAAATAGTGAAAAGTATTAATTTTTAAATTTTTATTAAAAAATTTATTTAAAAAGAAATAATCGCCATAATGGAATTTCATCAAGTGGAGCTCATTCTGTCGACGGAACACTTAAACGTAATGATTGTCCCTCATTTGCTGCTAAACTTTTTGGAACACCACAATGTCCAAGAATTGAAGAAATACCAATTATAGAGCCAATTCTTTGCAAAAAAGTTTAGAAAATAGTTTTTAATATTAAAAAGAAAATTTTGTTAAGGTTTCAAATGGTCGATTGGGTTCTTTACATTTTAGAGAGGATTGTATTGTTACTACCTGTCAAGAGGATTATATTTGTATTTGGATAAGGCCTAATTCTCAACATAATCAACAAGTAAATTTAAATAAATTCTTTTATGTTTAAATTTATTTTTAGGAAGACAAACATTCATCGACAATTAACACAAATCATCATCAACAACAAAACCATTTAATGGCCATAGATTGTTCAAATGATTGTCAACGGCTCTCATCTGATAATTTTGCCAGTACATGCGTGTGACTTTTTAATTAATTAAAAAACAAGAGAGAATTAATTAAATATAAATTGATAAGCTATTTGAAATATATAATTAAAAATTCGGGTATTTACCCCTTTCCTTCCACGAGTTTTTGTTAGGTTTTATTGGATATCGCGAGCCCACTCTCTACCGCAGAGCTGTGACGCTCGTTAAAATTTTCGAATCATTGACGCCTTAGTTCTTTTCAGCTTCTATATACGAGGACTTTTTGATTCGTTTCTTTTACTCAAATTTTAGCCCTGTGTCGGAGTGGGCTCGTGGCGGACTGGCCTGTTTCCGTTTTTTCTTTAGCCATTAAAAATATATATAAAATTATTGACTAATATATTTGTTATAAAAATTAAATTTTTGTCACAAACAAAATAATTATTTTGTTTTAATTGATAATCTAATATTTAAGATTGCCAATAAAATATTCAAAAATATATAAAAGAATTTTATTTAAATTAATTTTTAAAAATAAATTAAATGAGCTCTATTATAATAAATATACTAATTATAATTTCACGAAAAATTTCTGTCCAATTCTTGTTTGTTATGAAATTTTAAAGGTGCCCGCAAAATTCCATTTTCATTCAAAAACTTTAAAAACAAAATTAATTAAAAATAAATATACAATTAAATACAATTTCCCAATCTGGACCACATTTTGCTGGCGGGAGTGAATATTTTGGATGAAGATAATCACTTTTAGGTCTTGAATCCTCCATAGAATGGCTTCTTGGTCTACATCTTTCTTCTAATTTTTTATGTAAATATTCAAGTGATTGCATTGATCTGTGAAAATAAAAAAAAGTTCTCTTTTGTTATGAAAGGAAAAAAATTAGACAAGAAGAATCGGTATTATCGCATCAGTTGCCACCGTTTTAGTTTTCTCCTTTCTCCAAAAAGGTACATATTGGAAGGAACAACATACTATTAAAGATTTTGCGACCTATGGCGACAGATACCAAGCTCTGCATTTTATAATTAAGGTCCGGTATCACCATCTCTGGGTGATTGTAACTTCCCAAAAGTTACAATCACCCCCCCCCCCCCCTTCTCGACATGAACTGATTTTGGCCAATATGTACTTTTTTGAAAAAGAAAAATGAGGGGAGAAGGAAAACATAACGGTGTCAGCTAATGCGATAGTACTGAAGAATCTTCCATCTTCGGCTTGTAATACTGGAGAATCGGAACCTACATGAAACCAAACCGGATCAGAAAATCCAGCAATTTCTAATCAACCTGGTCTGCCGGAGAGTTAATACTAGGGACTAGGGTTGTCGTTTCTGGACCGAACCGATGATTTTTCGGTTCGGTTTCGGATATTTGAAGAATTTCCAGGAACCGAAACCCTACTAGAGACCGGACTTGTGGATCGATTGAGTTGATCTTTATTTACCTAACAGCAGAAGAAGGTGATGGACTAGTACTGTATTCGTGGTCAGTAAATGCTGAATATTTTCTGGGACTTTTAACAACGCTGTAGGGAATTAATTCTGGATGGGGATTTGTCCTTTTTGGAAGGAGTGCACAATGACTGATAAAAAATATAATCAAAATAATTGTGCAAATTAAAAGTAGAATTGCTAATAGAAGCATTTTTATTTAACTAAATTATTTAAAAAAATTAATTTAATACCAACAGCATTATAAAATTAATTTAAAAAAATTCTTTTATTAATATTTTGAAGAAAATATTTTTTTATTTTTAAAAGTATTTTTGACAAAAAAATTAATCTCGAGACAGACATTAAAAAAATAAAAATAAATAAATATATCCTCTTCAATAACAAACAAAAGAGAAAAACAAATAAATAAAATTAGAGAGAGAGAACTCGTCGTTTAATGGCAATATAAAATTGGAAATAGCCAGTTAGTTAGTCCTACAAACATATATTTTTTTATTTAGTATTTGAAGAGAGAAAAATTAAAAGAGAAAAGAATGTTAGAAGGACGGAAACTACTAAAATATATTTTTGTTTTGCTAAATAAAAATGGATTAAACTTTTTTTTAAATAAGTGTAAAGGCGAAAATAAAATTAAAAAAAATTTTTTTTTTGTTTTTAAACAAGGGGGAGAATTTTATATACTAAATTATTAAAAAAAATTTTTTTTAGAGATTTTTGTAGATGTGTAAATTTGGTAATATTTTTTTCCGAACTTCCTAGCTGACATTTTTTCAAAAATATAAGAATACTTCTCTATATATTTAATTAATCTCTTCAAAATGTGTATTTATTTACTGGAATATTTACTTTATGTATTATAAAAAGACAAAAAATTAGAAAAAAAATTAAAAAATTAATCAAATTAATTAGTTTTAAAAAATTATTTTGCTAAAAAGCAAAAAACAATTCCTAGTTTATAATTTTACCTGAAATAAATTAAAATAAATATTTATTTAAATAATAAATGAGGCAACAATATAAATAGTATATAATTATTATTTTGAGCAAAAAAAGAAAAGAAAATTTAAAAATAAAATGAATTTAATGGAATTTAAATATTTGAAGAACTCTAATATTTTTTAGAAATTAATCTTGGAAATGATTTTCATAAATTTGTATATTGGGGATCCAAAAATCCAATTCCTAATAAGAGAAAGAAAGAAATGAGAAGGACACAAAAATGAAAAAAATATATTTAAAAAATATTTGTTTTTGTTTTATAAAAATATTTTCAACCCCCCCCCCTCATCTCCTCCCCTCAAAAAAACACAAACAAACAAATATTTTTTAAAAACATTTAAACAGGACTAGCTTTAATATCATTTAACGCCCAATTTGTAGTTGTAGGCATTTTACAAGCTTCCAAATAATTAGGTAATTTAGGTATTTCTTCTTTATTATTTAATGGACAGGCATAAAATAAACCTTTTTCGTCAATCTAAAAATATTTTAATTTTAAATTAAATTAATTAATTAAACCTTTAAATAATAAGGTTGATCTAGGGAAAATGGCTCTTTTATTTGTTTTAATCCTTAAAAATAAAAAATAATTTTATGCAAATATTTAGGGGAACCCCTTTCAATAAAAGAGAGAAGGGGAGAGAAGGGAATCCCCCCCCCCCCCTACACAAAAAAGGGAATCCCCCCTACCCCCCTCTCTCCACAATAAATATATTATTTTTTACTATTCAAATTAGCCTCTTCTAAAGTATTTATTCCATTAAATATCCTTTGTGAATTATTAAAATGTCTTGAACGAAAAATGCAGGAACATGCAGATATTGAACAAACAACACCAAAAAGAATTCCAAAAACAAAAAATTGACAAATTAATTTAGATATTCCCTCCTCTAAAAAATTGAAAAAGATAAGAATTTTTATTTTTTTTAAATTTTCTTTTAAATTTCTATAAATAATTTATTTATTTATTTATTATCAGAAGACAGAAAAAAATTAATTTAATTAAATACCTTCTTTTCTAACAACATTTCCAATTTCTTTATTATTATTTTTCATTTTTCTTTTAAATTCTTCTTTTAATAAATTTTGTTGTTTTCTTTTTAAAATATTTGAAGTCTTTATAAAAAAATTAAAATTATTTTTTTAAAGAAAATAATTAAATCCCCAAACAATTAGCGTATATACTTTAATTAATTACCCCTCTCTCCCTCAAATAATTACCCCGCCCCTATTAGTTACCCCTCCAGTAAATAAAGTAATTTTAATTTATTTTCTTACAATTAATTCAGAATTATTCAAATTTAGTCCATTATTTTGAATAAATAAACAAAACAAAAATAATATTAAAATTAAAAAATAGGGCATTTAAATTAATTTATTTAATTAAATTTTAAAACTAAAATTGATAAGGAAAAAATTATTTTATTTTTTTTATTAAATAAATAAATGATGAAATATTTTGGAAGGATTATATAGACTTTATTTATTTATTTAAGAGGGGTTCCCCAAACTTTTTTGAGGGGAGTTATCAAAAAAATGATTATTATCAACAAAATGTTTATGAATTTTTATTTAATATTAACAAGTATTTTAATAATTTATTTTTTATTTATTTGACATAAAAAATAAGGAAAGGGGAAATTTTTTTGGAAAAATTAAAAATATTTTATTTAATTAAAAATTAAAAGCCTAAAAAAGGGGGATTAAATAATAAGTATAAGAGGAGAAGAATTTAAATACATTTCTTGTCAAAAATAAATTTATTTAATTAAATATACTAAAATTCGTCATTAAACAAATTCTTTATCAGTTTATTATGACCACAATCATCAACGAACGGGCTGTAAAAATTATTAAACAAACATTGGGTGCATCTTAACATTTATTTACTCTTTGAAAAAAATATTTTTTTTTAAATTTGATAATAAATTTTGAAAAAAAAATAAATTAAAAATATCACATTATTTACAAATCAACCTTCGTACTTCCAAAATTAAAAATGTACTTATATACCGTATTTCCTAAAATAAAGCCCCATGCTAAATTAGTGCCCCACCCTAAAATAGAGCCCCACTTTGGAGGATAGTTGAAATTTAGAGCCCCATGCTAAATTAGAGCCCCACTCTAAAATAGAGCCCCATCCCACTTTTTTAAATTTACTTTTATATCAAATTGGTAAACAAAATTGTTAAGAAGTGAGTAAAAGGGGAGAGGGGTTGGATGTGTAAATGGATGTTAGTGAATTTGGGGATTAAACGGGATATCGGGATTAAAATTAAGAGGGTTGGGGAGGTATTTTGGATTAAGGTAACTTCCTTAATATTGTAAGGCTGAGATCACCTGAAATCAATTGATGAATGATTGCGCTCTAAACTTTGCGCTAAATAAGGAAGTTCCCAGAGCAATCCGAAGTTTATCACGACTGCCATTCTGAGAAAAGCCGGTGAAGGAATTTAAGAGTCCATTCGGGGGATGTTGAATGAGAAAGGGATTAAAAGTGATATTGTAATATTTGGATGAGTAAAAGGGATGTCATCCGAAAAAGGATGTCAGTCAGTCCTAGTAGTGTCTGATTTGGAGGGAAGACGTCTCCCGATCCGAAACTCCCTTATATCCAGTGCTTGCCTCTGTCCTATACGCATTGGGTTAGGGGAGATAAAGGGATTTGAGGGAATAAAGTATTATTGGAAATTAGGGTATTTTATTGCGAAATTTTTGAGAACCTTAGAAGGCGTCAGATTTCTTTATTTTCAGCGCCGCAGACGAAACTTTTGGAAAAATAGACAAAACTTAAGTATGCAAAAATTATTAAAAATCGGAAATTTTTCCTAAATTTCGCAAATACAAAGAATCTATTCTTCATTTTTTAATTTGAGAAATAGGTTGAAATATATAGCCCCATGCTAAATTAGAGCCCCACCCTAAAATAGAGCCCCACTTTGTAGGATAGTTGAAAAATAGAGCCCCATGGGGCTTTATTTTAGGAAATACGGTATTCGTAAATACCCTTAAACTTAACAATTTTTCGATCAGAGCCCAAATAAAACTAATTAAATAATTATAAAAATTAAAATAAGTGAGAAAAGGAAGGTAGTCAAAAATGTATAAAATAAAAATTAGTTAAAAATTAAATAAAAATATTAAGTAAAGAGTATAAATTATTAAATATTTTGTAAAAAATTTAAAGTTGGAAGGTAAAAAAAAAAGAGAAAATAATATTACAACAAAAACCAATGAATACTACAAACTTTATAATAAAATATATTTATCTTAATTGATCATAGATTATATTTAAAAAAAATATTTCTTTAAATCAACAAATTTTAAGGCAATATTTTTGGTTAGCAGCCAAAATTAAATTTTATAAAAATTTATAAAGTTTCACAATTATTATTCCAAAATTATTTAAATAAAAAATATATTTCTTTAGTATTTTTCCAATAAAAATCTTTCGACAGAATATTCAAATTTAGAAGGATCATCCATTGGTTTAGCTATGTCAAGCACACGCCTTTCATAAAAGCTTACATTGTCTTTTTTATCAACCAGTATTATTGAAGTTGATCTAAAAGTAAATTTAAATAAAAACTTTAGGTACTATCCGCCCAAATTTTCCTTTCTCTCTTATAAATATTACAAAACCTATCATATCACAACGAGTCTATATAGTGGGTCACCAGCTTGTGTAATTAGAACAAATGCCAACGTTGGGCGTTGTAAACCCCAATTTATTTTAAAAATACTTTGTTCCATAATTTCTTCCTTGTAAATGCCCATTAACAAAAATTGAACATAACAATTTGTATTTTGAGTCAGTAGAACCAGTTTGTAGACGAATTTGTTCATCCGGAAAATGTCTAAAAAAATAAGAAAATAATTATTATATTTTAAAAATTAATTTCTATTAAAAACAAACATTTCTGTATTAGAACCAATTTCAAAAAGTTCATTAATTAAATCCTCTTCAGTAAAATCAATTTTTGTAGAGAATTGGTCAATTAATGATTGAAGGAGTTTTTCGCCATAAATAGCCTTTTTGAAGGGAGTTATTCTTGGACTATTACTGAAAACATGAAGGCCTATAAATAATTAATTAAAAAATTTAATACAAAAAATTTCAACCTTTAGGCCAATGCACGGGTTCAGAATTATCAAATCTATTTGTAAAAGAATAAAGTTCATAACAATCTTCAATTCTTTCAATTAAAAAATTTATTAAATTAATTATTTAATAAAATACCTTTCTAATATAACAAATTGAAATCCATTAAAATCTTTAAAATTTTCTCCTCTAAGTTGAAAAAGAAAGTTTTCAGCAGAAGTTTGTCCATTCAAAAAATTCGTAACTAATTTACCTAAAAATATTTATTCAAAATTTATTTTTATTTTAAACCTCTGCTTGGTGCAAAAGATTTAAAAACATTTTTTGGTTCTGTTATAGACAATAAATTTCCAATTCTCCCATTTCTGTCAATTCCAAGCCAAGTACCTCTTTCCTTTTCACGTTCATCTCTCCCTTATTTTTTTTAAATATTTGATTGTGAGAATGATTTTTGTTAATTAAAATTGCCCCTCTACTTTTGGTACTTACATATTTAATATCCCTCACCCCACCCTACGCCTATTTTGCTTTTTTATTGTCAACATTTATATCCTTCACGTTGCAAGTTTTTAAACCCTTCTAATTTAATAAGTGAACAGTAAAAAAGCAGAGTAATCTGAAACTCAAATGGGGGTGGGATATCAAATACCTTTTTATGTAAAAACAACCTACCCGCCAAAATTCCATCACACCAAGCTAGTGCAGAAGTAGGGCGAGAAAATTCTGAAAATAAATTCTTTAAACAATAATTTCCACAAATTTCCAAACCTTCATCTCTATTATTTAACAATATTAATTTGAATCTTCCCAAAATTAAATCATTATCAGCATTAATAATAAAAGTAATACACATTTCTGTTCTTATATTTAAATAAAAATAAATAAAATAATTTAAAAAATATTGTCATTTTTTTAAATAAAAATTTTAAGAAAATAAAAAAAATATAAAAATATTTTTATTTCGATTTTAAAATATTTATTTAAGTTCAATAAGGCCAAGCGAATTTAAATTAATTATTGAATCAGCAATAACCCTAGCTGTTTGTTGTAAATAACCTCCACTAGTTAACTAAAAATAAATAAATTTTCAAAATAATTATTAATTAATTAACCATAACAATAGGTATTTCACGTTGTTTAGTTGCTTTAAATACTAATTCATCTCGTCGAATAATTCCCTAATTTGTCAAATAAGAATTATTATAAATTCATTTATAAAATTTATTAAATAACAAATAAACTATTAGAGCCTCGAGCAAAAATTAGGGTATTTCATGTTTATACCGCCCCCTCCCCTAGTTGAAGTACCTAATTTAGAAAATATTTAAAACAAAATTAAGATTCATTAAAGGAAGAGAACATTTTTGTTACGCCCGACCTCCCCCTCCCCATTTCTAAATATTAAAAAAACCTTAGAAGAAATTCTCAAAAGCCCTAAAGGATCACCAGAAAGCGAATCTGTACCAGCCACATAAACAACCAAATGAGGAGTAAATTCAGAGAATGCCTCATTCAATTCCCTTTCTAATCGAGAAAGGTAATACTCGTCGCTCGTTCCAATTCGAAGAGGAATTGCCCTTGAAATACTTTCTAAAAATATTTTAAAACCAAAAATTATTTTTTAGCTAAAAATACTTTTTGCAGGTCCATCTTTAGGATAGATTTGTTCATTGTAAAAATCCATAATATAAACACGATTATCGTTAATAAAATCATTTTCATGTCCATTACCCTTAAATTTAAGAAAAATTTTAATTAAATTTTCTAAAAACTTGATGAGCATCCAAATCAATAATCATTGCTTTTTTAATCAATCCATCCTCAAATAAAATTTTAATTGCTAAAGTAATATCAGCATAAACACAAAAACCGCCTCCTGTATCACTACAAGCATGGTGAAAACCGCCACCAATATTAACTGCCCAACCATATTGAAGTGCTAATTTTGCAGCTAAAATGGAACCACCTGTTTGAAATCTTGAAAAAAAATTAAAATTTCAGAATTCTAAAAAACCTTAATGGACGTAATACCAATCTATTAACTAAACAAGAAGGAAAAGGAATAACTAAACAAACTTCCAAAATAAAAGCAAGTCGAATTGTTGAATTGAGAGAACATAAATAAGTTGGGGAATGAACAAATAATAAATCTTTCTTTTTAATTTCTTCAGGTTTAATAATTGCTTCTTCCTTTAATTGTCCACTCTCTATGCAGAATAATTAAATTAAAAATGTAAAAACATTTCCACATATGTCAAAGGGACAATTTTCACGTTAATAGCTATTTTTCGAAATTAATTTTTTGATCAAACTAGCTAGAAGCCAGCTTATATAGATTACTCAAAGAAACTTTTAATAAGGTGAATATCCTGGTGCGTAAAGCAAAATTAAAAATACTCACCAACAAGAAATTGAAAAACTCTTCCCCACTTTTTTGAATCAAATGGATGTAACCTCTCAATTCCAAAAAAGCTAATATTGTATTCATTTGTATATACAATAGGGCATTGATGTTGTTTAAGTTGAACTGAATAAAGATGAGAAAACCGCGTTTTAGACTCTGAAGATGTTGAAGCAATCGGCCGAAAATCTAATTCATTATTAGTAAAATCCATTTAAAAAACTAAAAGCTTTTTTAAAATTTTATTTTTATTTAGATAAAATTGTTGAAAAAATCATTTAAAATAAATAATCATAAAATATATTTTAAATATATTTAAGTAACATCATAAATAAAGGCAGAAAAGTGAGTAGATGGCCAGAAATTTAAAAGAATTTGAGGTTAATAATTAAATTAAAAATCAATCAAAAATAAATCTTCATGTCTACTATCAACAAAACTAACAGTCCTAAAACCTCAAATTCAAAGGCAACAAATATCAAAAGAAAAAATTAAAACAATAATAAATATCCAACATTTTTCACTTTCTTTCCAATAAAATAATTATTTAGTTTTCTTGGTATCCGCTTTAGACGAAGAATCTGCTTCACAAGTATCTAAGTAAAAGAATAGAAAAATAAATACATTGATAAATTTACCTTTTTGAGATGATTTCGTATGTTGCTGTTGCCTTTTCTTTTCAGCTTCTTTTAATTTTTTGGCATAAGCTCCCGTAGGAAAAACATAATCAATGATGCAGACAATTATCTTAAATAGGTAAAATTGAACTTTGTACCATTTTTCCACATTGTGGAAGGGAAAGGTGGGGAGGGGGTACGAAGTTCAATTTCTAAAAACTTTCTTATGATTCAACCTAGTTGTGATAATTTAGAAAAAATTAAAAATAAACAAAAACATACAAATCCAAGAACACATCCAAGTGCTAAAGTAACTCCAGCAAAAAGCGTATAAGAAGCCCACGAAGGAACACCAAGCTTTTCAACCATATGATTGTGAAGATCGCGAACAGCCATTGAAAGTTTAAAGAAAATAGCCACAATTCCCATTTGCGGACTGTCTGGATATTTGTAAGAAGGAATTGGATCAAAGTTTGTCCATTGCTTTTCTTCAATAAACGTGCTGAAATCATTCTTGTCACGTGGACCAACATAAAGGCGAAAAACGCCATCCTTCACACTGAAATAAATGAAAGATAAAATTAAAAGAAAACTGAAATCCAAACTGATAAATTGTCGGCAAAGCAGTGACAAGGAATCTGCCAGAAAGACCCGGATTGGTAGTCACGTCAATTTCTGCGACATTTATGTTTAAATCCGTCGACCAATCGGCAAAAGAATTCCATGCCTTTTGAAGATCTTTGCAGGCCGGACACCATGGAGCGTGACTAAAATGAAATTTATAGATTAAGCGTAAAATAAATAAAAATAAATAAAAAATATACAATTCAATCATCCATTCTCCAGTGAGAATATCACGCCAATTCTCCTCACTCAATGCCAATAAATTTTTCGACCTTGTAGCACAAAAAATAATAGGCAAAAAAGAAATAATTAAAACCAAATGAAATAAAGGTTTATTGAACATTTTTATTTTTCTCTGAAAACTTTCTTTTTAAATTAAAAATTTTAAGTGTATGATTTTTATGAAAAATGATTTGCGCAGATAGAAGAGAAAAATAATTACACGTCTGCATAAGTGCGGAACAAGAATGGATCAATTTCCTGTTCCTTTGCGTATTTTCTCCGAAATTCTTACCAATAAGTAGGTCATCTAAACAACAAAAGAAAAGTTAATAATTAATTATCAAATTATTGTTTTTTATTGTTTAAATTGGAAAAAAATCATTACGACAAATAAATAAAAGACATTAAATCCTTGGCATAACATTTAAATATCGACTTAAAGCTTGATAACCAACGGTCCCAATTTTGTCTTGCGTGCAAGCGGCATCCTTCCTTCCTTTACTCTTCTGCTTATGTTTTCTTTCGCAACATCCTATTTTCTTTCAATCTTTTTTCCACTCTTTCTTTCAATTGCACTGTTTTGGTCAAAACAAAATTTATGGCTGGCGGCCATAAAATATTCAATATTAGAACTGTGGACGGCGTTCTAAAAATATACTTTTCCTTAATTTTTATTTTATCTTGTACTTTTGTTGTTAATTAATTTTTGTTTAAGGATATTTATTTATTGCTAAATATTAAGAATAATTCATGTCGGCTTCATTGGCCGAAGCTAGAGCTGAAAATGGAGGTTCTGAGAAAGTTTCAACTGAAGACAATAAAAGCGAAAGTACTCGTAAGTAAAAAATTAACTAAATATTTTTTTTTCTTTAAATAAATTCCAAAATTTTTAGTTGAGGCGCAGACAAATGGTTCAATTGAAGGTAGTGTAGAATCATCCTTGCTAGTTAAAACATCGAAGGAATCGAATACTTTAGAGCAGCCCGAACAAAATTTAAATTCGGAAGACAAATTAAAATCTGCTGAGGATATTACTCCATCTCAAAAACCGATTGATAACAATCTTGGCAACAAAGAAAGCACCGAGGCAAAGAATGATCAGGAGGTTTATTTGCTAGTTAATTAAAAATTTTACATAGAATTTTAGCCACAGCCATCTAATAATTTGGAGCAACCAGAAGAGCCAGCACCTGCGACTACTGAATCCGAAATCAAAACAGAATCAGCTGGAGAAAAATTGAAGAATGATCAAGAGGCAAAAGAAACAAAAAACAATAAGGAAGAAATGAAGGAAGATGGTGAAAAGAAAAATATCGAAGAACAACCTAAGAATGCTGATGAAAAAACTGAGGTAGAAGAGAAGATGGAGGTTGATGTGAAGAAAGAGGAGGAAGAAAAAAAGGAAAAAGAAGAAAATAGTGAGGCTGGAAAGGTATTTATTTTTAAGACTAAAATTATAATTGCAAGAATTATGGACCCTTATAAACTGTTATAAGAATTAACTTTTTACGTAAAACCATAAAAACATTATTCAACCGATTAACTTTTTAATATTTTTCAAGGGCGCTGCAAAGCAAGGACTTCCTAAATGGATGGTTCAAAGTGCAAATGCTCCTCCTTCTCCTTCACCCGAACTTTCTGAAAAAACTGGCGAAAAGCAAGATGAAACAGCAGCTCCTATTAAACGCCGAGGAAGAGGGCGTCGTTCTATGGCTGAAAAGGCGGCTGAAGCTAAACAACAAATTAATGAGGGTGAGGAGGGTCAGGTTAGTTTTTGCTTATATATATTTTTAATAAATACTGAATTTCAGAGTGAGGAGGCGCTTTCTCCGCGTCCTAGACGGTCCACTAGATCTCGTGTTGATTATGCTAATCCAGATCCTAGTAAGTTCAATAAAAATTTTTATTTTACGAAAAGTTTTTTTATTTATTAAAAAATAATTTTAGTGACCGTTGTTGCTGAAGCAGATGATGAGGAGCCAGGAGGAGGCGCAAAACGAATTACTCGAAATGCTCCGGGTCGCAAACCCATTGTAGGACGAGGAAGGAAGCGTAAGGTATCAGTAAGCGAAGATGAAGATGCTGGACATGAATACGAAGATGAGGATGACGAAGATTATGGATCAAAAAAACGTGTTGCTAATAAGAAGCGTTCAAGTGTTGGTAGCGCTATTGGAACTCCAGCTTCAGGGGGTATTAGGAAGAGAGGTCGTGGGCGCCCTGCTGCTGGCACAGGAAAAAGTTCAGGCAAAGCGCCTGCTAAAGGAAGAGCACCAAGAGGAGGTGGCTTTGCTATTAAGCGATTGTCAAGACATGATAAGGATTCTGATGACGAACACAGCGAAGTTGTTTATGATGATAGAGAATCTGATAAGGATCCAACTACTGAAGGTTATTTAATTAATATTCGATTAATTTTTTTATTATTGGCAGATGATTCTGCTGACGAGAAGCAACAGCAAACAAAGTCAGTTGCTCCTGTAATGGACAGCAAAGTAACCACTCCAGTGAAAGCTCAGACTAAAAAACGTGGGCGACCTGCAGGTGCACGTCAACAAAAACAAGGTTTGAAATGTTTTTAAATTTTGTTAAGAATTTTTGCAGGGGTCTCAGATGGCAAGAGACGTGATGATGATTCTAATGATGATGGTTGATTCTTTGAGTGAATCATTTGCTTTTAACCATTTGTGGAATTGATTATTCCAATTTTGAAACATTTTGCTGATCAATACAACAAAAAATCTGCTAATTTTATTCTTTTATTTTACCCATTTGTTTAAATTGATTCTTTTCACCAATTTTTCATAAGTAGTGTAGTTTACGAATTTAAGATTCATTTTAATTATTGAAAACTGAGGAATTTGTTTAAATATTTTCTGTTAGACTACATTACTTTTTGCCTTTTTCCACCCTAATATTATTTAAATGAACGTTGATATTTCAACTTTACCATCTTGTTTCACCAATAAAACATGAACTTTTTTTGTTAATTATTAAACATTTATTTTAAAATAATACATAAATATTGGACACAAAATTAATTTTTAAATTAAATTTTGTTTTAAATTGAGGTTATGAAAATGAATTTATTTGATGCAAAGTTTAACCATCGTTCTGAAGGTATAAATTAATTTAGTTGCAGGGTTCTCATTCGTACTTATTTTGGAAGTACATATATAAATCGACCCTTGTGCATACTTATGAAATTAAAAGTATTTATAATACCTACTTAAAAATGGACATTTTGGTTAAAAATTAAAACTAAATTTCTAAAATTTTCGCCTTTGACGCAGAAAAAGAAGACTACACACTTATAAATTAAGCTTTTTGTACTTTAACTTAATGTTTTTTCCGATGAGAACCCTGATTTACTGTGTTTTTTTAAATCTTTATTTAAAGATAGGGAGAAACAAGAATGTTGTAACAATTCAATAATCAAACCGGCATGCCTTCCAATTACCATTGTGGCATTACTTGTGTTATTACTATTTTTTATGCCAATGTTTAATGAGGATATGAAGGATATTGCAGGGACAAATGTAAAGAAATATGAACGAACAGGAATTTGTACTGATAAATGCAGGTTTTTATACAAATTTTTTAAAAATATTTAATTTTAAGTTGGGAAATTATTGAATCTATACCTTCTGGAATGAATTACACAATCGGGTCGCCACAACATAAAAGTACTTACAATGCTTGGGTTGAGTTGCTTAAGGTTGCCAACAAGACTGTTGACATAACTGCTGTTTATTGGAATTTGAGAGACAAAATGGATTACAAAACTTCATGGCAGGCATTTTAAATATTTAATTTTAATATGTAGTAATATTTTTGTTAATATAAAAAAAGAAAAGATTATTTCTTAAGGGTAGTGAGGTATTTAAACAAATTGAAAATGCTGCTCTACGAGGAGTGAAGGTAATTAATTAAATTTTCCAATTTAAGTTTTATTAATTTTAGATTAGAATAGCTCAAAACTCTGCAGGTCAATTTGGGCCTCTTGATGATTTAGAATTTTTACAAAGAAAGGGTTTTTTAATTCTAATTTGTTACAAACAATTTTTTAAATTTTTAGGTTTAGTTACTGTTCAAATTCTAAATTTTACAAAACTTTTTGGAAGTGGAATTTTGCATAGCAAACTTTGGATTGTTGACAATCAACATTTTTATTTAGGTTCTGCTAATATGGATTGGCAATCATTAACAGAAGTTAAAGAATTGGGAATTTTAATGAAAAATTGTTCCTGTCTAGCTTGGGAATTTAACAAAATTTTTAGTGTTTATTGGCGTGTTGGGCAAGAACAAAAAATTCCTTCTGTATGGCCAGTTTCTTTACAAACAAAGTTTAATTTAAACCATCCACTTCAATTACGTTTTAATTCATCAATGCCTGCAAATGTTTTTGTCAGTCATTCACCTAGTGTATTAAATCCAAAAGGAAGAGAACACGATTTAATGGCAATAATTGGTTTAATGAATAAAGCAAAACAAAAAATAAAAATTGCTGTGATGGATTATTTACCAATAACTTTATTTATGAAAGAAAATAATACTTTTTGGCCAGCAATAGATGATGCTATAAGAACAGCGGCATTTAGAGGTGTTCATGTACAAATGCTTATTAGTATATGGCCTCATTCTAAAAAAGAAGCTATTCCTTATTTGCGTTCTTTATTACAAATTAATGAAGCATTACCAAAGAGAGGGAGTATTTCTATTGTAAATTATTTTTTTAATTAAATGGGAGAAAATTTTTTTTAGAAATTTTTTCGTGTTCCAGTCAGTCCAGAACAGGCCAAACTTAAATTTGCTCGTGTTAATCACAACAAATATATGGTGACGGACGGAGCTGCTTGGATTGGTTTTTTAAATTTAATTTTGTTATTAAAATAATTTAAGGAACTTCTAATTGGTCCGGCGATTATTTGTTGGTTTATTTTATAAAATTTATTTTGTCAATATTTTTTAGTATAACAACGGCTGGAGTTGGTATGATTATTGAAAGACTGCAGAATTCAAGTACTTTAATTGACCAACTTGATGCAATTTTTCAAAGGGATTGGATTTCTAACTTTTCTTTCCCTTTAACTTTGCCATGAGAATACAGCGACACAAAGTTTTTCCTCCGAGGATTCAGCTTCATAATTTTGTTTTAAAAAGAGCTTTAAATCTTTGAACCGATTGTCCATTGCACAATTGTCTTAATATACAATTGTCAGGCTGTGGAGCTGACATGAGTCACCATCATAAAAGTTATTTCTTTTCCCATGTGCGAATTTCTTTTCTCTATTTTTCTCTAATTCTTACTAACCTCGCATTTTTTGGCTTTCATTCACCAAATTCTTTGTCCAAATCAAATTTCTTATTTTTAACCATACATACTTGTTTACTACTTTTTTATAAAAAATTTTACATAAAGAGCAATTTGTTATCGTTTCTAACGTTACGAGTATCTATTAAACTTTATACATCTCATTTAATTAAAAACTTGACTTTTTATTAATTTTTTGTTCTGTTTAGTATTATTAAAGAATCTTAAAAATGAGCTATCAACCACAAGCAAATAATCCTTACGGATTTAGAGCTGATGAAAATGCTCATACAGCTGAAAGTGGAATGCCAAAAAATGAAATTGGATTCAATGATCAAACGATTAGACAAGCTTTTGTTCGGAAAGTTTTTACTTTGGTCACTATCATGGTATGAAATTTATTTTTCTTTTTAGTACGTTAATTATACCTTTCAAGCTTGGTGTCGTTACAGTTATGTCAGCAATTCCTCACTTTTACAAGGATGGCGAAAAATATCCACTCAGAGAGTACCTGAGAAAGAGTATGGGGCTTTATATTTTGTCATTAGTGGTTTTTCTGGTCGTCTACTTTGCATTAATTTGCTGTGAAAATGTTCGCCGTAGTCATCCGACAAACTTGATTTGTACTGGCGTTTTAACACTTTCGATTGGATTTGTGGTATTCTTTTGACTTTAGTTTCTTTTAATATTGTCTTTATAAGACGATGGTTATGACTTCTTTTTACACGGTCGATTCTGTTGTTCTTGCTTTTGCTGTTACAACTCTTAGTTGTGGTGGTATAGTCATCTTCTCGATGACCACTAAACGTGACATCACCAGGTTGGAGTTTTTTGATATCGTTTATTTAATTTTTAAAATCTCAATTAAGCATGCTTGGTTTTGCCGTCATAATTGGGATGGTTCTGATGCTTTTTGGATTTTTTGCGGTCATGTGGACAATGATTTTCCATACCCGAACTCTTTATCTAGTTTTCTTATTTTAAGACCTTTTCTTAAATTTGTTTTTCAGATCTATGCTGGTTTTGGTACTCTCGTTTTTATGTTATATTTGGCTATCGACATTCAGGTAAGTGTAGTAATTCATTTTAAAAATCAAATTATGTACATAGATGATTATGGGAGGACGCAAGTTTGAAATTGAACCAGAAGAACATATTTTTGCTGCTATTATGGTAATATAATTAAAATATATTTTCTTCTATTTCTTTTTTAAGCTTTTTATGGATATTGTTCAAATCTTTTGGTTCATTCTTTCACTTTTTGGTGATAGATCGGTTGGTTATTTTAAATTAAATCATTAGTTAATTTTTGGGTTTAAGTAAACGAATGGAATCTTTGCTTGATGTGTATTTATGCTTGAAAAATGAATGGGTTGCTAACGAGAAAAAAATATAATTTTTTGATAAACTTTGAATATACATAGATATTAAATTTAATTTTTTAAATTTTATTCTCTTTATTTCAGTCGTGACTATATTAAAAAAATTTTGGACTCTTAGTTTTTCAAAAATTGCGGAAGTATTCTTTTTTACATCCATTTTATTTTGTAAATTTATTAAGTTGCGACTTTTTAGTAATTCCTGTTTCTGAATTTTACTCTTTTATAGATATTAAATAAATGTATGATTCATTATTGTCCAGTCTTTTATATATATTGTCGTCGCTTTTCATTAATTCTTATAAAAGAATTTATACATATTTCGTTATAAAATGAGCTGATTTTAAATCGATTTTTCAGTTATTTTACTTTTAGTTTGAATAGAAAAATTTTTATTCTAATTATCAATTGTGGTTTTATAAAAAATAGAAATTTTGTGACACTTTTTTCGAAGCTGATTAATGGATACTTTAGTAAGTTTTAAAAAATTCCAAAGATTTCAAAAATTTTGAAAAATATTAGCGTTCTCTTGAAGAGAAAAATAAAGAATTGGATGGTTTGAGACGTCAACTTGCGAGAGAAGAAGAAGAAAAACATGAATTGTTTTCGCAGGTGTTTTTTATAAAAATAAGAATTTTAATTAAATATTTTTTAGATTAATTCACTTATTGGGGAATTGGCACAAATAAAACAAGCAGAAAATGTTTCTTCTAAAGAAAATGAATTGACTTTATTGCAATCTGAATTGGATGAATTGAAATTGGATTTTGGAAGAAAACAAGGAGAACTTCAGAAAATATGTGGGGAATTGGCACGTGAAAGGGAAGAAAGTCGAAGGCGAGAAAATATAATGCAATTAGAGAGTAGTAGAATGGAAGAGGAATTACGTGAACGAGATGAGCTTCTTAAAGGTTTTTTTTAAATGTTTTTTTTAAAGATATATCAAAAGACTTTCATTTTTAATTTCCTTTTCAGACAGTTACTACATAATTTAAACAAATTTATTAGTCCTTTTATTTTTTTATTTCAGAATTGACAGAAACTAGCGATGAATTAGGTCGAGCATTGAATGAAGCTAACAACGATTTGCAAAATGCTAGAGAACAATTAGCCATTACTCAACAAGAATTAACAAATAAACAAAAAACAAATTTAAATATACCCTCAATAAATGATAATAAGTAACTTATTTATTTTTTAGATTAAAATAATCTTTTTTTTAGTTTATTAAAAGAAAAGGAAAATTTGCAATTTGAAATTAAAGAATTAAATTATAATTTAAAATGTTGTGAACAAAAAGTTTGTGAAAAAGATGAACTTTTGAAGTTTTTAAAATTATTTTTTTTTCTTTTATTTAAAATTAATTTTTAGTAAAAAAATTGAAGAATTGAGAGAATCTAAAGAAAAAATAAAAATTTTGGAAGAAAGGTTTCTTTTTAATTAAAAAATAAAATTATTTTAGTAAATTTAAATTAAGATTAAACATTTCAACTCAAAAAACAGAAGATTTTGAACAAAGATTTTCTTTATTGGCTATTAGTAATACAGAATTGAAAAGTCAATTAAAAGCAGCAGAAATGGCTTTAGAAAATGATAAAACCAAAAATTTGGAGAAAATAAAAGAAGAAATTGAATTAAAAGCTAAATTAAATTTTGATGAATTATTGAAGAAGGAAATAATTAAAAATGAAGAAAAGGTTTTGATTTTTAAAAATTTTTTTAAAGAATACGGATTTTGAAGAATTAATTACTCTTATTAAGATTTGTCTAAATCCTTATTTATTTTTGATTAAAAATAAGAAATTTAGGTACTCTTATATTATCCGCCCCCATCTTCCTTTTTTCGTATTTGATCGGCTATAATTTTTTTATGCCTGATCCAATTCAAATGAATATTTTATCATTCTAAAACTCTCTACTTTGACTTGATCCATTTAGTTAGGCGCTTATCGAGAGCTTTCGAATAATATATTCATTTGAATGATCAAGCATAAAAAAGTTATAGCGATCAAATGTGGAAAAGAAGGAAAATGGGGGTGGATAACACAAGAGTACCGAAATTTGTATTTCTTGGAAGAGAAATTAAATAATTTTATTAAAAAGAAATAAAATATTTTTATAAAAAATTAAAGATTTTGGAGGCAGAAAAAGAACATTCTCGATTGAATGAATTATTATTTTCTGAACAAAGAAATAAAGAATTACTGAAAGGACAGGTTAATCTTTTTTTAATTTTAAAACTTTCTTTAAATTTAAGTTAGTGGCTTTGAAAAAAGAAAATGAATTTTTAGAAAATTGTTTAAAAGAAAGGAATAATGAAGAAATAAATGAAAAGACAAATTATTTGGAAAAATTAAATAATTTGAAAGAAATTAATGAAAAAATAAATTTTGAAAAAGAATTGGTACAAACAAAAGTAATTTTTATTTTTAATTTAAAAAGAATTTTTGTTTTTAAAAGTTAAATCAATTAGAAAAAGAAAATACTCGATTAACTTCTGAATTAATTGAAGTAGAACAAAAAGCTGAAAGAGAAATTAAAAAATTAAATAATTCTTTGGAAAAAATAAAAAAAGAAAAGGAAGAAGAAATACCTCCTCCTTCTCAACCAATTGCTAAACCGAGAAAAACTTTAAATAATGGAAATGGAAATAATTTAAATGAAACATTTGTTGAAGATATTGAAGAAGAAGAAAAACAAATAAATATAATTAAATCAGAATTGGAAAAGTAAGTTTTCCATCTTTTTTAACAGTTTTTCAAAATTTTTAGTTTTAATTTGGAGGGCTTGACAGTATTTTGGAGAATTTATCCCTCGTTAGCTTCCCCAATTCTTTTTAATCTCTCGATCCCCCAATATTCTTAACCTCTAAATTGTGAAATAAAACGAGTAAGGAAGATATTACTTGGGTCAAAAGATTTGGGGAGAATATTTTAAAAACTTTTAATTTCAAAATTTCCAGTACCGATTCGACTATTAATGATCGGAGTCACCATTAATATAAACTAACGATTTTAAACTTTAAATGTCCAAATATTTAACGACCTTTTTTCCAATTTTGTCCTTTTTTAAATATTTTCGTGTCAATCTTTCTAAAATCAAAAAAACCCCCTTACTTTATAACTTACCGAACCGGATGTTTGTTTAAGGGATAAATTGAAAGTACGGGGAATAAAATAAAACCGACAAAGATGAAATATAAAGACCAAAATGGAAAAAATAAATTTAAAGAGGATTTGAGAAAATCTAAAAACAAATTCAAGAATAAAATTTTTTTATTTTCAAGGCAAAAACGATTGGTTACTGTTTTAAGAAAAAAGTTGCAGCAGCAACAACTCGATGCCCTAAAACAGCAAAAACAATAAGAAGCAGATTTTACTTAAAAATTACAATTTTTTATTTCTTTCTCTTTTTTTTCTACTTACATGGTGACCGGAAAAATTGCAGTAAATTCATCGAGATTAGTTTAGGCATGGAAGCTTTAAACCAAATTCTCGCTAGAAATCAGACCGTTTTATCAAAAATCTCGGTTTATCTAGATCTCCAATTCTTACTGCATTTTACCGTAAACCTTTTACTTACTTAAATTAATTTCACCCGCCTTTAATTGTACCGGTAGAATGGCATAATAATATTTACATAAATACATATCTATGTTTATTTAAAAATAATTAAAGAAATTATTTACCCAAAGTTGACGTTAAATTTATTCTATAGATTATTCTTATCCTTAGAATTGATTATTTAGTTTTTTAACGATTTTTCTATTTTAAACGTGGATTAACAGTTCTGATAATTAAAGTTCAAAACTTAAACAGGATCAAATTTTGCGGGATTTATTCTGATACATATTAGTTTTCTTATATTCAAAAGACACCATATTAAAAAGAGGGACCTTGGTTGGACCAAACTCAAATGTGATAATGAAGTGAAAGCCGAGATAAAGCCGAGATATAATGAAGTGAAAGCCGGAATTTAAGAGATTAAAATATTAAACAAAAATAAGAAACGAAAATTGGATAGGAAAGTCGGGTATCTTTTTAATAAAGAAAAAAACTATGTACTATATTCGCATGTAAATTGATTTTACAATTTCTAGGATAAAACGGAGGGACATGATAAGGAAACTATGGGGGGATAATCACCGGAATTCGTAAAATTAACAGGATTTCATGACAGAATTATTTAGAATAAATTAAATAATAATACCTTCCCTTATATTTGTAGAGAAGTGAGAAAACTTGTTTATTTACACATACACATTCAATTTGTTGAGATAATGGATGACCTTCTTTCTTTCCTTGTGTGTATAGTATTACTTTCTGTCTTCGTTAACAAATTCATTATATATTTTTTAGTTCCCAAACACCTCCAATTTCAGGAGTGCCATTGTTTGGTACTTTTATTTCTAAAGAACCGGAAAACTTTGGGTGTTGTGCAAACAAAAAATTTAGAAGAAAGGAAGGACTCTTATGCTGATTAAAAGTTTGGTGGTCATTTTTGGGTGAAAGTATTTTTGTTTTTAATTTAAAAAATATTGAATTAAACAAAAATGACAAAGTATTTTAAAATAATTGGGTGCCCAAATTTTGGGTTAAATTTATTTTAAAATTATATTTTAACCAAAATAAACTTTCTAAATTTATTTTTTAAAGTTTCTATCATTTTTTAAAAATAATTTCAAAACTTTGCCGACAAAAAATTTTTTTTCATTTTTATACAAAGACACCTAACTTAAAAATCATTCATAAATATAAAGTACTTTTCTGCCAAGTAAAGACAAAGACTTATTACAAAAAACATACTTTTCATGATTTTCTTTTCAACACTTAAAAAAAATTTTTTTATAATAATTCTTTGTAGTTAAAAAAATAACATTAAAAATATATTTAAAAATTAATTTTTTACAAAAAAAAACACAGTAGAAGAGAAAAGAGAGAGGGAAGGGGGGAGGGGAAATATCAATGCACAAAATTTAAAAAAAAATTGAGGGATATTTTTAATTAATTATTATTAAAGTAGAAAAAGAAGAAAAAAATAAGAAATTATTTTTTGGGAAAACAATTAATTTTTGATAAAAAGTAAAGAAAAAAGAAAATAATTATGACTGATTTTTACATATTTTTTTAAAAATAATTTTAATTATGAAAAAAATGTTTAAGAGAGAAAACAATGTCAAAAATGCTCTTTTTTTACAAAACAAAATTTAATTTTTAATTTTTACTATGCTTTAATAAAAAGAAAAAAAGAAGGCAGGAATTATTTTAAAAAATTAAATAGTCTTTAACAAATTTTTAAAGTCTTTCAGAGGTTTGTTGCCGAATTTGGATTCATTGTACTGAAAAGAAAAGAAAATTATAAATATAGAAGGACCTCTCAATATATGTACCCCCTTACACTATACTGGAGTGTGAACTAAATTTTGTGGAGTCTGAAAAATACCGCAAGTTTTTGGTTTTTCTGCAATTTTCCCCAAACAAATATTTTTTCGAATATTTTTAGCTCAAACTCTATTTTAGAGTTGTTTTCCAGAAACATGTTTTTCTTTATTAGTCAAACTATTGTAGAAATTAAAGCTTTATTCGACTATATTAAAAAAATAGTGGAGGTACCATAAAACTCCCCAGAACCTCCTCTTCCACTTCCTAACCCTTTTATTTTAGTTTCTCAATTAAAACCCCCAACTTACTTTCCATTATAAATTGTCTGTGTTGTTTGCCCCCCTCCCCCAGATATATTACCACCACTATACATCATTGAAGCATTTGTATATTCTTGTGGAAAATTAGAAGATAACACTTGATAGTCAACAAGTTGCTTTAAAAGAGAAAATTAAAAATAATACCTATTTAGAAAAAACTACCTGATTAAAATTTAAATGAATATTAACTAAAGGTTGAGGGTTAAATAATTGTTGTTGTTGAGAATTAATTAATTGTTGAGGACTTGCACAATTTAAATTATTTGAAGAAGAATAAAATTGTTGGGGAAATTGTTGTTGTTGTTGTTGTGTAGTTATTGGTGTTGGGTGGATTATAGCTGTTGCTGAGGAATTTGGGAATTGGTGACAATAAATTGAGGAAGAAGAAGAGGAAGATAATAACTTAAGGAAAAGAAATTTAAAAATTTATTTAAATAATTAGTTTTAAATTTTTTTATTAAACACTTAGACTTGTACTTGGTACGAAGTACCAGGTACGAGAAAATTAAAAATTATTTTCTCCAAAATATTTTTTAAAAGAAATCAGACAAAAATTAAATCAAAACAATCATTTACTTGTCCCCCTCCCCCTCCAATAGAAGAAATAACCGAAGGAGATCCACACAAATTATTTCCTTGTAAAATTTCAGAAGAACTTGAGGGGCATTGAATTTGTGTTAAATTAGCTAATTCAAAATTATTATTATTAAATATTTCAATTTGTTGCTGTAAATTATTTGTATTTTCTTCTTGTCTTCCTCTATTAATTAAATTAAAATTATTATTTTTATTTATTTTTGAATATTTTTCTTCTTCATTATTGTCTCCAATAATATCTAATATTAAATTATTATTATTTCCTTCTTCTCCAATTAATTGTTGTTGGTGTTGATGTTCTAATATATTTGTTTGAATTAAAGGTTTTAAATCGGAAGAGTCTAATATTTCCTTAAAATTAAATTATTTTTTTTAAGAAAAATGATGTAAGATGCAATTAACTTAAATTTGACCGGCCAATTGGGGACCGGCCAAAGGGTTGGGTTCCTTAGCAGTCTATCGTGTTCGGGACCTAAGCCCACTGAGTATGGGGCCATTCTTTACACTATTCCCCAAAATTCAGGTAGTTATAATCGTTTTTCTGAAATTTTTAAAAATTGGCTATAACGTTCAAAAATTTTGAGGGATAGTGTAAGAACATGAAGAACTGTTACGGAACCTTACACCAGCTTTGAACACAAAAAAAATTTATTTTTTGAGTTTCAGTCCCCAATTGGCCGGCCAAATTGAATTAAGACAAGAATTTGATTTGACCGCCGACATATGTATATTTATTTATTTACCTTTTTTAATTTTTGTTCAGTCAAAATTAAAGAATTAAAATTTTTTTGTTGTTTTTTCTGTTTATTTAAATTGTTGTTAGCCTTCTTTTCTCCCCCCAAATTTAATTTATTATTTCTTCTTTGCCTTTCAGGTTTCTCAGTTTTGCTAAGTTTAAAACGTTTTTGTCTTCTTAAAAAACATCCATTTTCGAACATATCCCCACACAAAGCATGTAAAGTCCAAAAAGAACCTTTGCCCGGTCTGCAATTTTTTATTCTTAATTTTAATTTTAAATTCTTTTTATTTTAAACTTTTACCTGTCGGGGGTTCGAGGAACTTTCACAAAACAATCATTAAAAGATAAAGAATGCCTAATTGAATTTTGCCAAGAACAACGCTTAAAAATATTTTAATTAATTAAATTAAAATAATTAATTTTACCTGACCATGATTTTTGTAATATTCAAAATATGCCATAATAAAATTATATATCTGAGAGAAAACAAAAATTAAATTGAAACTAAGGATTGTTAGTAATAAGTAAAGAGTTGTCAGTTCGGAATTGAATCGAGGATTTCTCATTTATGTTTATAAGAAAAAGGGCTGATTACTGGGGCTTCATGTCCTTTTAAAATCCAAATATTTTCATCTACGGCACTAAAGATGTAACGAAATTTGAACATTCAATCCTATTTTGTAATTTTGAAGAACT